ATTGAGTGTGATATTTCAATAAAATAAAACAAGAATGAAATATGTTCATTTTTATATTATTATTTCATTATTGATAGATGAAATGTTCTTATTCATTTATTCTTTTGATTTTATTTCTTTTTAGTTTTTATATTTCAATTAAACTTATTTAATATTTTCATTTTAATTACAATGTTCATTTGTATTGTAAAATCTTTTTGATATTGTTTTCTAAAATCTGTTTTATTATTCATTTATATGAAAATTATGTTTGTTTATATTAAGATTTTGTTTTATCATTTTTTTATGAAAATCAATTAAAAAAATCAAAACAATCAATAATCTAATTGATCAAATAAATAAAATGTAACATGTTGTATTTATTTATTGATTTTCATTATTCTTTGTATTCTCTTTTGTTTTATTTTCAATAAAAATAATTTTGAATCATTTATATTATTTTCAATTTTATCAATTTTAGAATTATCATATCTTCTAAATTTATTTTATTTTGTATTTTATTTATTATTTATTATTTGATCAAATATCGTTGTGTTAATATTTATTTTATTAATTTTTGATTCAAATATTATTTGTTTTCTTCTTTCTTCACTTTCTTCTATTTATTTTATTTAATATTTTATTGTTGTTATTCATCTCATTCTTTCTAATTTATCTTCTTCTTTCCTCTTCTTCTCAAAATATTCATCATAATATATTTTCATTTCTTCTTTCTTTATCATTTTTTATTTGAAATGATTTTATTTATTCGTTTATTTAATGTTTTAATTAATATTTATTATATGAAATATATTATTCATTCTTCTTTTTATTTTTTATTATTTTATTTATTGTTTGTTTCTTGTTTTTGATATTTTTATTCTATTTCATTAATTTATTAATTATTCTTTCTCTTTTTTAATAGCTTGTTTATATATTTCATTATCTTTCAATTATTTATTTTTTAATATATTTTAAATAGTAATGTTAATATTTATTAATATCATCAATTGTTTGTTGAATATTTGAAATATTTTTACTTCTTCTTTATATAATGAGTAATCTTGTTTATTAACTCTTCAATTTTAATTTAATAATTATAATAATAAAATAAGAATCATAAATAATTAAATACATTTTTATAACAATTTTATTTATTATTTTATTTATTATTTTATTTATTATTTTATTTATTATTTTATTTATTATTTTATCATTCTTTATTTTATTCATTAAATATTTTCTCTTTTCTTTTTATTTTTTATTATTTTGATTATATATTAAAATTATTATTATTTATTATTATTATTATTATTGTTATTTATTATTATTGTTATTTATCTATAATTATAATTAATTAATATTTATTATATTTTATTTTATTATTCATTTTTATTTTCTATTTTTTTATTTTTAATTTCTTTTTCAATTCTTATTTATTAATTTTATTGTAAAACATCATTCATTCTTTATTTATTCTTTTTTGTATCTTTCTTATTTATTGTTCTTTATTTTTTATACCTTTTGTTTACTTCTTTCTTTTCTTTATTATCTTTTTTTGTTCTTTACTTGATTTCTTTCTTTAACTTTCTCTATATTCATTTTATTTTATTTTGAATATACTTTTCTTCTAATTATTATTTTTCTTTATCTCTTATTTTGTTTTCTTTTATTTCTTTTTATTTTCTTTGTTAATGTTTTTTATTTCTTATTTGTGTTATCTATATTATCTTTCTGTTCACTCCATTTTATATTCTTATTCTTATTCTCTTTTAATCCCTTTTTCTATTCCTTTCTTATTATACATTTACTACTACCTCTTCATTATTCTATATTCCCTTGAATGGTAATGTCATGTTTTGTTTTCATTATAATACTTATGAATATTATCAAGAATGAATCAATAAAAATTGTTATCCCTTACAATGAAAAAATCTGAAATAAAAGAAATAACAATTAAATTATTAACAATTAAACTAAAAACAAAAATAAATTGTGTTATTTACGGTTCAATTAAAATTTTACAACTATCATCCATTTTAAATATCTCGCCTGAAATAACATCTTTTAATTGAATTGGGCCAAATGTGAAAAGTCCAGATTTATTTGACAAAAATTCGACAGAAATAGAAGAGGTGCATGGATGTGAAAATACTCCAATATCAATTGTTGGATGTAAACAATAAACAGGAGATTGGATATTATCAACACTTGTAATAGATAGTGTAAGGTGTTTTTCTGAATTACACTGATAAATTAATTCAAATACAACTCTAAATACTCTGTGACATTTTATTCTTTGAGGAACTAGTTTATGATGAATTTAATTCTTGTTTTTTTATTTTTTATTAAATTGAAATATCAAAAAGAAAACAAACATGATATTCTCATTGTTATTGGTTGATATTTTAGTACATCGGCTTTTAATTCTCGTGCAACAAATAAATTTCCTAACATCCCTCCCATACTGTATATAATAGTTAATCCAATACTTATTCTTGATTCATTAAATGACGTTAAACTATTTCTTCTTTTAGATGGAGAAATAGGTTCAATATTTCCTGCTTTTGGACATAAAATAGATGATTTTTTAGATAATGACGTATCACTATCAAGTAATGTTTGTTCAAGTGAACTTGTTGAAAGTCGTTGACCTCTATCAAAACGAGTTGATATTTTTGGTAATGCCTTGGCATTAGTTGATAGTCTTCTTAAATCAAATGACGTTCTATCAGATACTTCGGGTGATGAAGAAAGGGAGCGTGTTGGTACAGAAACTTTAGGAGACGGTAATGGTTTTCTTGGTACATGACTTGATTTTTTATCTATTTCTTTTACAAAAGAAATAGGTACTTTAACTGGAACAGCAAACGTATATTTATCCATAGCTTTTAAAGTACACGGTAAAGGTAAGAACGGTTTGTCTAATGCGTATTGACATGTTGTAATAAGATTAGATATTTCTACTTCATTTTCTGATGTATTTTCTAATGTAATAACAAGAAATGATCCTGATGAACTTTGTGTTGTGACCGAACGTATTTTGATTGGATCGATTACAGTTACATTAATAAAAAATTCAGTTGGTGTACCTTTGATTTGATTCACAGTAAATAAAGTGTCTTGATAATATTCATACTTTGAATCTACTGATGGCGGTGGGATAGTTACCCTTAAAAAAAGTTGTGCATTTAAGAGTTGTTCGACTACCCCTATTTTTTGTAATAATAAATAACAAATTGATTGGTCTGGTAATAAAAAGAAGACTGGTTCATTTTTCTGGTTTTTATTTGAGTTTGGTAACGAGTCAATAAAAGATTGCCAAGTTGAGTTTAAAGGCATAGAACGGTCACTAGGTAAGATACTAACAGTATTTTCGATAGTTAAATTTCTTACTTTTTCGTCATTAAGAGATGTAGAATGAGGTATTTTGGATGATTTAACTAAATCAACAACTGGCTTAGTTTGGCAAAACCATTGATACGAACTAGTTTTAGGTGATACTACAAAATGTATTAAAATTGCAATTGTCTCTCCTTGAACCAATACCTTTCGAGATAAAATCGGTTTATTCGGATCTTTTAAAAACATAAAAATCTCTTTAGGAGATGTTGGAATGTAAATCTTGTGAAGTCCATTCATTTTCTTCAATAATTTTTATTTACGTTTCTTGTTTTTAAGTTCCTTTCTTTTTTTTTTCTTTTATCATAAAAATAATCAAAAGTAACTTTTTGTCATAAAAAGCAATAAAAATAAAAACGAGTAAAAATAATTAACATCATTTCAATATTTTATTATTCATTGTTACGAAAATTAAACTTGCTACTTTCAATATCATTTTATATCTGTTTCATTATGTTTTATTTAATAAAGTTTAATTTATTTGTTAACACTTCTTCTTATTCACTGAATTATTTGTTATGAAAAAAAACTTATGACCATCATGATGATTACTTATCTTAATATGAAGTATTAGGATATCAAGAATTAAGAAAGTAAATGAATAATAAAAAATGAAATAATGAAAATCATTTTTACGTGTTTTTTCTTATTGTTTTTTATGACAAAATCCAGCTTTAAAAAGTTAACAAAAGAAACCTTTGACTCTGTGTATTTTTCTGCTCATTTGTGATTCTTCAAGAAACCCTAAAAATTCTTTTTAAAAAAGAAGATGAAGATCTTGATTAGCCTGAGTAACGAGTGATGTCATATCGAGGAAGTTATTCTTCAAGTAATTATTATTCAAGGAGGTATTCTCCTGATGACAGTATGAGTGATTCTCCAATTAGTTATTCACCTAAACCACGAGATCGAGACCGAACGAATGAAAGAATGAATGAACGAGAATGGGATATGATAAGACATAACGAATGGAATGGGTACTCACCACGAAGAGGAGTAAGGCGAGAAGAACCATACTTATCACCACGAAGAGACATTCGAAGAGAAGAACCATATCTTTCACCACGAAGAGATATTCGAAGGGAAGAACCATACTTATCACCACGAAGAGAAATGAGAAGAGATGAGCCATATCTTTCACCACGAAGAGATATTCGAAGAGAAGATGAAAGTGGAATGTTTTCACCACGTAGTCGATCTGAAATGAGATTTAGAGAGAAACGAAGAGAAGAAGAACAAGAAGCAGAAACGTATTTTAATAGGAATAGAAGAAATGAATGGTTTATTAAACAATTTCATCCAATCAATTTAAGGGAAAGGAGAATGGCTAAACAACGACAAGTACAAGAAGCGTATGATAAATTTATGAATAACATTATATTTCCGAATTATGGAGATGAGAAGAGTCTTCCTGATGATCCATATGATGGTAGAAGAGTTATGGTAATATCTGATCATGCCACAACAAGTGAAAGAATGAAAGAGATTGCACCACTTAAAGAACAAGTCGAAAAAGTTGTTATTGGAGATCCACGATATAGGAAGGTTAGTGTTGGATTTGTTGTATATAAAACTAAAGAAGCAGCTACACAAGCAAAAACAATGCAAAGTGAATCTGAAAGAAGTCAATTAAGTTCTATTCGATCAAAAGAACCACAATTACGTTATGCACCAAGAGATTTTAATGAAAAAGAACGATTAGACAAAGATTGTGTACAATTAAATCAACTTATTGGATTAATGGATCAAATTAATGGAGTTAAAGGAAAACCATTACAAGAAACACCTGAATGGGAACATTGGAATATTAGAGAAAAAGTTGATGTTCAAATTACGTATTTAAGAAAAGTACATTCATTATGTTATTATTGTTTAATAGAATATGCAGATGAAGAAGAGTTATATAGAAGATGTACTATTCATTATAGAGAAAGTAGTGTTATTAATCAAGATTCACATCTTCCTCCAAAAACAGTACATTGGTTTAAAAATTTTGATAATTATGAATATAGTTTTTATACATCTTTAAAAGAAGAAGATAAGGCATTGGCATCTGAAGCACAAAAGAGAATTGTTTCAAAACTGTTTAAAGAAGGAATTTGTAATGTATGTAATCAAAAAGTTGAAGATCCAGTTAAACATGCTTTTAATTGTCATTCAAGTAAAATTGATCCAGTTGATATTGATGAAATCAATGAACGATTTAAACGTAATTTCCTTTCAGATCCAAAAAAGAAAGCATTACCTAATTATTAGAAGAACATTAATTGTATCCTAAATACTTTAATAATTTAGTAAACAAGTCAGTCAAAGAATTATGGTTTACATAACGAAATTTTAGGAAAAATTAAAAAAAAAAAAAGAAAAAATATAACTGAAAAATCATAATATTTGAATAAACAATATGAAAAAGTTTGAAATAATCATTTTGGTTATGTGTTTTGTTTATGTAATTGGAAATGTATATCAACAAGAAAATGATGTGAAAGACTATAGCTTTGATAAAAATGAAATGATGGATGATTTAGTTTCACTCAACGTTGCAGATGATAATTTAGTTGATGAATTTGAATTGGCAGAGGATATATATCTTAGTCCATATCAACGAAACCGTTTAAGAAATGTTCAGAGAATGCAAAGAAAAAGAAGAATTGCAAGAAGACAATTACAAGCAAAAATGAAAGCAACAAAAAATAGATTGAGTAGACAAGCAAGAAGATTATATAGGAATGCTAAGGCAAAAGTTAGACGACAACTACAAAAAAGAGAATTAGAAAAATTCATGAATAAGAAAACTAGAATGATGAAGTTAAGAAGAAAAGCACGTAAGGTACTTAGAAAGAAACAACAACGAGGAAATAACCAAAAGAATAAATTCAATAATCAAAAAGCATTTACTAATAATCAACAACCAACAACTTCTTTAATAAAAAATAATCAAAATCAACAAACAAATAATCAGAAGAAAAATAATAAGAACAACAAAAAAAATAATATAAAGAAACAAGTTCAAAAAAAGAATAATAATAAAAAACAAATTCAAAAGAAAAGTAATAATAATAAAAAACAAATTCAAAAGAAAAATAAGAATATTGGACTTACACAACAAGAAAAAAGAAATTATGCACAACAAGAATATTTAATGAGAAAGAAAGCATTTGATGCATTAAAACGAATTAGAATGCTTAGAAGAAATAAACGAATGACTATTATGCAACAAGCAGAATTACGAAAACAAATAAGATTAAGACAAGAAATGTTATATCGAACAAAACAATTAATATTAAGAAAGAAAAGAATAGAAGCAAGAAGAAAAAGTGAAATGATAAGGAAAAGAAGAATTGCATTACAAAAGAAAAGAAATGAAGAAAATAGAAGAAGAAGAGAAATAGAATTTAAAAGAAGAATTAGTATGAAAAAACAACAAGACTTAAATAGAAGAAGAAGAATGGATATGATAAAAAAAAGACAAGAAGCAGCCAGATTATTTAGACAAAAAAAAATGCAACAACGAATTAAAAGAATGCAAAAAAATAGAGAAATAAGAAGAAGAAAAATGATACGTATTATTCAAGCACGAAAAGCTGCTAGATTAAGAAGAGATAAACAAAGACAAGAACAAAGGAGAAAATATTTAGCTATGGTTAGAAGTCGTGGTGTTGCACCAAATATTAAACAAATGTTTAATAATGCAAGAAGACAACGATTAGTTAAACAAGTTAAAGAAGAATTTAGTAGAAATATTGAAGAAAGACAATTAAGAGAGAGGATTGAAAGAGAAAAAGAACGACAAATACAAGAAATTAATCAATTAGATTTACTTAATAGAAGAAGTAAAGAAGAATTAAAAAGTATTGAAAATTCAGCACAAAAGAGTATTCAACAAATGAATGAAGAATTAAATAAATTAAGAAATGAAAAGAATCTTCAAGCTCAACAACAAATTGATGCTATTAAAATGTTGAGTGATAAAAAAAGAGTTAAATTTGTTAAAAATATTAATTCTTTAATGGATAAAGCATTAGATCAAGAACGATTAAAAGTTGATCCATTTATTGTTTTAGAAAAAGGAAGTAAAGATATGGAATTGATTAGAGTGATGAGACTAAAAAATAAAATATTAAATCAACTTGATACTATTCAAATCTAATTTGTTTTTCTTTCTGGTTTTTGTTTTAATCTTTTATATTCACTTTTTATAAAGATTTTATATTAAAACAATGAAATAATATATATTGGATAAAAAAAGATATGAAAATTTTTTATTTCTTTTCATAATTATTATTAAAATAGTATATTAATTTATAATATATCTCTTTTTCAAAAATAGAAAAAATTTAATCCAATTAATATTATGTCGAAGGATGTTGTTATAGAAAGTGATAGTGAAAGAAATTCAATGAGTGAAGAAATTCTTTCTTATGATGAATTTGAACAAAAACCACTCAAATTAAGACCTTATGGAAATGCTGGTGTAAAAGGTGTAATTAATGATTATAAAGAAGCTAGAGAACATGCAGAACAACGATTAAAACAAAGAGTTGAAGAAACTAAAAAGATAATGAGAGGAGAATTTTCTAATAGTATTATTCAAGAAAAATGTGAAGAAGATGATCTTGATGAAATAGAGAAAGAATTATTTGGAGAAGTAATCAGTGCTCAAGTATTTAAAGAACGACAAAAACCAGAAGTATTGAAAAAAATAGTTAAAAGAAGATATGGTGATGTTCTTGAATTGGATGAAGAAGAATATGCTAACACAATAACTACATTAGAAGATGATGTCTTTGCAGTGATTCATATTTACACTACTTTTGTAAAAGATTGTACATTAATTAATAGAATGATGGAAGAGTATGCACAAAAATATCCTTTTGTATGTTTTGCCAAAATCACATGGGAAGATTCAAATAAACCATTTCCTGAAAAATCACTTCCTGGATTATTAATTTATAAAGGAGATTGTATGGTCAAATCCTTATTTGGTTCTGAAGCATTTCCATTCTTAAGAGATATATTTCCTGGATTATTAAATTAACTAATCTTATAATTTGGTTCAACATTAATAATTCTTATAATTTTTTTTGTGTTTTAACTTTTTAATGCACAAACTCACTTTATGTTTGTATAGTTTTCTATTTCATTATATTCTAAATTATTCACTAAATTTAATAATGTTGAATGTTATATTTATTACTAATTGAATAGAGTTACTTGATATATAAGAATATAATCAATTTTTAATTTAATGATATATTACAATACAAATGCTTGTTTTATTGAGTTAGATTTACACTCATTAAATTTTATAAGAGAATGATTTTTACAAAAAAAAAGTTTCAAGAAATTAACTTAAAATTTAATTCCTCAATTAACAATGTTAAACAGACAAATAATAGATAATATAATGGAAAGTACAAAACAATACCATGGAATAAAAAGAAAGGTTGAGGAGCCTTGTTTTGTATTTCATTATAAGACAAAAGAAACAGTTATTATTGAAAGTAATATAGATACATTCAATGTATTTATACAAGAGGGATTGTGGAATAACACTGATTTGATTCAATATGCATTTAAAGAATATGGAAATAAAAGAATTATTGAAGGAAAAAATTTAGAAAGAATTCTGAAAGTAATTTATAATTCATTTCCATTATTAGAGGAATTTATAGAGTATGTCAAAAGAAATAGATCATTTTTTTATCTTACAAAAGATGAATGGTATTCATTATATTACGAAAGGAATTTTGTATTTGATGATCAATATGTTAATGAAGATAAAATTATTTCATGTTTGTAATA